ATTTCATGGAGTGCCCACGGGTTCTTGTATTGTGAGAAAGGGAGAAAAGTACCTCTTTCTCTACCTGCTCTTTCCCATGCATAATCTTATAAACCTCAATCATGTCACCCCTCAGTCGTCGTTTCTCCAAGCTAAAGAGCCCTAAGCGCCTTAACCGTTCCTCATAGGGAAAGTGTTCCAACCCTTTTATCATTCGAGTTGCTCTTTTCTGCACTTTTTCCAAAGCTATAATATCCTTTTTAAGGTGTGGTGACCAGAATTGCACACAGTATTCCAGATGAGGTCGCACCATTGATTTATATAGCGGCATTATGATATTGGCTGATCTGTTTACAATACCCTTCCTAATAATCCCCAGCATAGCATTGGCCTTCTTTATTGCAGTCACACACTGTCTCGACATTTTCAGTGAGTTATCCACTACAACTCCAAGATCTCTCTCTTGCTCAGTCTCTGCCAGTTCAGACCCCATCAATGTGTATTTATATTTAGGATTTTTGGCTCCAATGTGCATCACCTTGCACTTGGCCACATTGAACCCCATTTGCCATGTTGACGCCCACTTGCCCATCTTTGACAGATCCCTTTGGAGTGCCTCACAATCCTCACTGGTTTTCACCACCCTGAACAACTTCGTATCATCCGCAAATTTAGCCACTTCACTGCTTACTCCCAACTCCAAATCATTAATGAACAAGTTAAAAAGCAGTGGACCAAGTACTGATCCCTGTGGTACCCCACTGCTTACACCCCTCCACTGGGAGAACTGCCCATTTATACTCACTCTCTGTTTTCTATTAATTAGCCAGTTTTTGATCCATAAAAGGACTTGTCCTTTTATCCCATGATTTTTGAGCTTGCTTAGGAGCCTTTGATGAGGAACTTTATCAAAAGCTTTCTGGAAGTCAAGGTAAACAATATCTATTGGATCCCCCTTGTCCACATGTTTGTTCACCCCCTCAAAGAACATTAACAGGTTAGTGAGACAAGATCTTCCCTTACAGAACCCATGTTGAGTCTGCCTCAATAGGTTTTGTTCATCTATGTGCCTACTAATTCTTTCCTTAATAATGGTTTCCACCAATTTACCCGGTATCGACGTCAGACTGACTGGCCTGTAATTTCCCGGATCTCCTCTGGAACCCTTTTTAAAGATGGGAGTGACATTAGCTACCTTCCAGTCCTCAGGAATGGAGGCTCATTTTAAGGAGAGATTACATATTTTTGTCAGGAGATCCACAAGTTCACATTTGAGTTCTTTCAGAACTCTCGGATGTATGCCATCTAGGCCTGGTGATTTATCACTTTTTGAGTTGTCTATCAGTCTTAGGACCTCCTCTCTCGTCACCTCAATCTGACTCAGGTCTTTCAACACCCCTCCCGAACTCAGCGGCTCTGGAGTGGGCAAGCACCTCTCATCTTCCACAGTGAAGACGGAGGCAAAAAATGCATTTAGCTTCTCAGCCATTTCCCTATCATCCTTCAGTACTCCTTTTTCCCCTTGGTCATCCAAGGGCCCCACTGCCTCCCTGGCTGGTTTATTAACCACAAGGTATAGATAGGGGCTCTGGGGCAAGTGATGCTCTGTCTTCTTGGTGCTTGGGGGGGGTCAACAGTGGGAGGGCTTCTAATGTCCTGGCCCCACTGGAGGACCTCCTGATGGCACTGGTATTTCTGGCCACTGTGTGACACAGAGTGTTGGACTGGATGGGCCTTTGGCCTGATCCAACATTGGCGTCTCTTATGTTCTTATGTGCATTCATACCTATAATTTTGGTGAGCGTAACTCTCTACAGTGTTTTTTCATGTCCTCTCTGCTGTGGCACATCAATCTGCAAAACTGACAGGAATCTCAACTGAGAGAGGCAAGGGAAGAGGGTAATTCCCTCACATCCCCTCCTGTAGGAATTCTAATTGCCTTCAAGACAACTGTCTGTGGGAAAAACTGTATGGTTAGAACAGCCTTGACCACCCACCCCTTTGCTTGCATGCTGTTGTCTGCTCTGCTCCCAGATTGGTCCAAAGGACAGATGCTTCCAGGGAGGGCAGACTCTAGGAGTGCCAGCTCTGGGTTGGGAAATTCCTGGAGATTTGGGGGCAGAACCTGAGACGGTAGCTCAGTAGGAATATGATGCCATAGGGTCCACCCCCCAAGTTGCAAATCAGTTGTAATCCCAGGAGAACTCTAGGCCCCACCTGGAGGATGGCAACCCTAGCATACTCTTTGCCCCACTGCTGAGGCTGCACAAGAGGGACATACTCTCTCATCTTTATTTCCCTCTGGCATGGAAACGGTGGGGAGGGGGAGGCTCTGTCACCCTTTTCAGTTGTTACATTTGTGATACTCCCAACTATGTGTACAAAGAGGAAGTGCTACCCATAATCGTTCCCATATTATTATTATCATTTATTAAATTTGTAAATCGCCCAATCCCTGCATTCACAGGGCTCTGGGCAGTAAATAAAGTACAATATAAAACATTCAGTACAGTCTTTAAAACAATTCCCCAGATGGTGTCCATGAACTGAATTTTAAGCCAGTTCCGATAGGGTTCCCCGCCCCCAGGTCCCAGCGGGGGTTCCCCTGCTTTTGAGGGCTTTGATCTGCTGCCGCATCCCCAAACAGGGACATCGCTGCACGACATCCCCGATGCGATGACATCACCTGGAAGTTATGTCATCGCGTTGCTGACGTTGGGGTGACGCTCTAGTTTTTGAGCAAACTCTGTTTTGAAGGCAAAAAACCATCGAGTTTTGCCCAAAAACTAGAGTGTCAACCCTGACATCAGGAACACGATACCAGTTCCGGGTTATGTCATCGGTTTGCGTGTGGGGTAAAAGAGCCCAGAAAGGACCTGGGAGCCCCCCACCAGCTGCCAGGTATGACCTGCCAATCCTGAGCTCTGGACTGTGTCGCCACCTCGCAGGCAGGACCGGGAGGAGGCTGAAGGAAAAAGATAGAATAAGGGGGGGGGGGGCAGCCATGATAGAGCCTGTGGCTGTCCTCAACCAAAGACCTGGTGGAACATTTCTGCCTTACAGGCCCTGCGATGCTATATGTGCTATCACCATGACTTGTGAATAGGGCAACTCATGCCTTTGGAACATATGAATGCACATCTGCAAACTTACACTGAAGGCCTAAATGGTAGAAATGCAGGATATACATCTAATAAAGGAATTATGAAACTGAGTAACAGAAGGGAACAAGGACAAAAAAGGGAGCAGGGAGACTATACTAGAATGTGCCTCCCCAAAAGAGAAGACCCACCAAAAAAATATTGAAGTTGTTTTTAAAGCATCCTCTCTACATTAGACTTCCACCTGTGCTTTTTTTTAAAAAAATTTTTAAAAAGTGCTCCAGACAGTACATATTTAACACTGGCTTCTTTTGGAAAATCACTGTGAACGTAGCTAAGTTACCAACCTCTTCAAAACTAGGAAGAATATGTAAGTTCTTCTCCATTTTCTTTTCCCCCTGGTTGGCAGCAGAAGGGGATGTTGATAAGATACAATGGAAAAAAACCTCTGTCCATTTGATGTCAGTATTGCATTTCCACTTTATTTTTAAAAATAATTTCAGTTAAAGATGAAATGGGTGAACAATCATCCAGTTTTCACAGGAAAAGCTAGCTCCAAGTTGGGGAGAGGGCTGGGCAAAAATACCCTCCCAGTGGCTCTCGTGCAAAAACATGTAATTTGTGCACACATGGACTCAATGCAGTGGCATCAAGGGCCACACAATCAACGGCTTTACCCTGAATGTATCGGGGTTAACTGGTGTGGTTATTTGAAAAGTACACTTTGGATAGGAAAGAGTAGGGACAGGATAGAATACAAACTTACTAGCTAAACGATGGAAGCAGATGGTGAGAAGGCCATCTGCCTCATGGTTCCAAGAGAGCACAGCATGTCTCTCTTGCTGCGTGCAGGGAGAGAGTGCATCCTCATCTGAGAGAGAACAGAAGGGAAATTGTCCCTGAAGACACAATCTACATTTCAAAGGGGACAGTGGCAGAAGAGTAAACACAGGAAGAAAGGTCAGTGTGCCTATCAAGTTATCCAGTCTCTTTTGCCACAAAGTCTTGGAGGTCTGAGACACAGGGACATCGCATCTGGAACGTCCAACAGTATGTCCCTCCCAGTGGCACGGGGAGATTGTCTGAGAGGCCCCTGGAGCATCAGCAGCTTCCTTATGATTTGATCCTTATGGTACCTGTTTATGGTTGCCAGCTCTGGTTTGGGGAATTCCTAGACATTTGGAGCTGAAGCCTGGGGGGAGGGGTAGAGCTTGAGGAGGGGGAAGGCCCTCAGTGCGGCCCAGAATCCACTCTCGAAAGCAGTGATTTTCTCCAGTGGAAGTTATCTCTAGTCTGGGGATCAACTGTAATCCTGGGAGATCTCCAAGTGTCACCTGGAAGCTGGCAGCCCTAGAGGGAGCTGAGCAGGGAATGTGATGCCATCCAGTCCACCCTCTGAAGCTGCCATTTTCTCCAGGGGAACTGATCTCTGTAGTCAGTTGTAATTCTGAGATAACTCCAGGCTCCACTCGGGGATTGGCAACCCTAATTGACCTTTCCCCCGGCTGGAATGTAGAACACTAAATTTTACCCTGATCAAAGAAGGGTGATAAGAACCAGGTCTTTTTTCTTTTTTTTTTAAAGTTACTAGTACAAGCGGTACTACTAATATTTGCTATTATATTAATATTTGCAGCCAAGTTGATACAACGCATACCCCTTCTCCTCATACAAAAAGCCACGTAATAGGTCAGCCTCACATCGCTTCTGGCTTAGGACAGGCTACATTTTTGTTTCGCTTTTCACCCTCTCCTCCCCGCGAGTGGGCAGACGGAGAACTTCTTCCACCCCCGGCCTCCGCCCTTCCCCCAGCTCCTGCCGGGACCGCCTGTTAAGTCCTCCGCACGTGGTAGCCGACCCTTCGCCGGCAGGGGCCGCTGTGGAAGCCGGGCTCCCAGCGGCTGACGGGGCGGGACCGCTCTTGCCCCCACGGCGAGCCGTCATATGACCGCGGCACCGGGAGCGAAAGGTAGCAGCTGCAGCCGGAGTCGGCCCGAGGCGCGGTCGGGAGAAGTGGAGCGAAAGCGGGCGAAGGACTGAAACTGTCGCCGGGTTGCTGCCTCCGCCGCCGCCATGCTGGCGTTGTTGTCCCGGTTGCTGGACTGGTTCCGGTCGCTGTTCTGGAAGGAGGAGATGGAGCTGACGCTGGTGGGGCTGCAGTACTCGGGCAAGACCACCTTCGTCAACGTCATCGCGGTGAGAGACTCCGGGGCAGGCGCTGGCCTCTCCGGGGGCGGGGGGGGGGGGGGTTTGCCTCATATCTCTCCTCATTCTCTCTTTGCCCTCCCCCCTCCCAGCTCGGAGTCTAGCCCGCTTTCCCTCTCCCTGTTTTTGCTGTCGACCCTCCTCCGTTCAATACACGCAACCGAGTCAAGTGGACGAAGCTTTCCCCGTGACTCTTGATGCCTTGAAGCTGCAAGTTTGCATATCTGAACGCGGCCAGGGGGTTAAAAAAAACACACACCCCAAAACCCTTGCACGTAACACAGACACACTCAGCCTCTCTTCTCCGTGCGAAGCTTTCGATCTTTTACGGGTCTCGCCCCCCACCCTGGTCTATTTTTGTGTTTGCGGTGCTGGAGCGTTCAGGCACGCGTTCTTTATCTCGCGAAGGGGTACAATCCAGGGGAGCTTTTCTTTCCCTCTTAAGTCTTTTAATTGTTTGTGCAGACAAGGCCCCTGTCAGATGTCTCTAGGATGGGTGGGGCTGGGCCTGGAGAAACTGTCTCCTTATCCAGTTTCTGGCCTGCACACAAGCGCGGAGTAGAGAGCTTTTGGAAGCGGAGAGGCTGATGTCCTTTGGGGCCGGGCAAGTCTCCGCAGGAAGCGCTTGTTGGGATGGACAAGCAAGGTCAGGAGCCCTTGTGATCCTGACTCCCTTCGTGGGTGTGGCCTTCCCCAAGATAACCCAGTGTGAGTATGAAAGCCCTGGGATGTGATGCCTTTCTGGGCCTGCCTTCTGAAGATCTCCTGTGCCTACTCTGTGTTAGTAACCTTTAGGCCGTGGGTGCCACTAGTGCCACATAATGCATTTGGAGCGTGGCGTTGAGGTGCCTCATGTGAAGTTGAGCAGCCCGGGAATCCTTTGTATTGCATCCTGAAGAGCGGGGTGGAAATGTCCTTAAATTATTCTTTAAACTTATCACTTGGTTGTATATTTAGAATATTTAGGCTTGTTTTTCTCCACTTCATCTTGGGTGGGGATATAGATCCTGTAGAAGGACAGCTTTGGAGGCAGTAATGGTTTTTGAGCACATCCTGAGTATGTTTACTTGGAAGCAACTTCCAATGAGTTCAGTAGCATTTACTTCTGGGCAAGTTTTCATAGGATTTCAAAGTTAATCTGGACCCTTGACACTACATTTCTTAGTAGTACTAATGTTGTGCCTTGAAGCACATCTGTGTATATGGCAGGAATTCTAATTGTTTGAAGAGGCAGTGAATTTGAGGAATGGGAATTCTTCTGAAATAGTAAGAACTAATAGGACTTTATCAAAGAGACCAGGTTTGTATTGGCTGAATTTTCTGGTAGGTCAGAAGAGCTTTTTGCTTAGTGCAGCAACAATGGAAAGATTGTGTCCAGGTTATGAAAATCCTTGTTTGAATGGCATGTGGCATGCTTCTATTGTGAGCTTAGCGTCAGAATATGACTCTTCAGTTTAACCATTAATTGATCTCTCCTAGAGCTGGCTCATGAAGGGCTTTCTTGTTGTGTTTCTAAATTATGTATTGGAGCACAATAATAAATGCTATGCTTTCCTGATTTTTATTTATTTATTTTATTTAACTTTAGACTTTATATCCCGCTCGAACCCTCTTTCTCAGGGGGTCTCTGAGCGGCTTACAAGTGGTGCTAGTCACACAATTTATCAAAGAGACCAGCCTGATGTAGCATGTTTGTGTTGTTCCTACACAAGGATGTATAGCACTGTCCACTAGATTAAACCTGGGAACTTGGTGTCTGTCTGCAGGTATTGAGTAAACCAATATTGTTGTGTTAGTACACTTCAGATCTTTGAGTACCTTTGTTAGGCTTACTGTCGCAGTGAGCTGTTGCCATCAGTGCTGTAGGTTTTAACAAGTAATTAGTTGTACAGGCTTATTATGGCCTAGCAGTACAGCTTCCTTGCAGGCCTGGGAAAATGCTTCCTGGTCTGTGCCGGCTTGCTAAGCCAGTTTCATATAACGAGTTTTGCCTCTAGATGTTTTATCTGAGTACTTCTTCTGAGAGATTGTCCAGAAACATGGGGAATCGTAGGTGCTTCTCCAGCAGGAGCACTTAAAATGAAGAACAAGCAAGGATTAATCTTAGAACAAGCAGTTCATAAAGTATTGATGAGTAGTGTGTGGATGTTGGCTTATAGGTGGCTGACGTTTTCACAGTGGTACACAGTGGTACTCTTATGCTTGGCCATCAACAAGGTCAATTTAAATCATTTACATTGCTAGGATTTATTGGCAAATACATTCATACCTTGTGTTTGTCAACTACAATTACACTTTGTAGTCTAGTGATGAGTGGAATCCTAAGAACACAGTTTGGTGTAGTGGTTAAGTGTGCGGACTCTAATCTGGGAGAACCGGGTTTGATTCCCCACTCCTTCATTTGCACCTGCTGATGTGACCTTGGGTCAGTCACAAGCTCTGGCACAGCTGTTCCTGAAAGAGCAGTTTGTGTCAGAGTTCTCTCAGCCCCACCCACCTCACAGGGTGTCTGTTGTGGGGAGAGGAAGGGAAAGGAGTTTGTAAGCCGCTCTGAGACTCCAAGTGAAGGGCGGGGTTATCCAGTCTCTTCTCTTCTTCTTCTTCTTCGAAGAAATCCCCAATGCTGTGGACTGTACTATATGTTCCTTAAGTGGTCTGGGGATTTTTGACATGGCTTCAGTGAGACATTTCATCCAGAAACTGTATTGCAGTAAACTTTGTCTACATGGAGTGGGATATGAAATAACTTTGCAGTAGAAGGTGGACATACATCCTCAACTTAAAGAGCATAAGTATGAGCTGGTTGGGTCTTTACAGAGGACATTATGTGTGTTGTGATTAATGATTGTTGAAGAGAAACAGACATGAGGATGCTGGCCCCACCCATAAACCATAATTGCTGGTTTATGGCGTTATGTGGATAAATGGGGAGTTAGCACAAGCAAACTGGTCCCTCCTCCTTGCCTCGTGTCATCATATGAGCATGGAGTATATGGCCATAGGGTGTACCTATGAAGACTCCCTCCTTGTATCAGGGATGTTTGAAAAAAGCAGTATTTCTGATCACAAGGAAGGGGCTTGTAGGTATACCCCTTACATTCATGGACTCTGTGTTCACAAATAGGCAGTCATGAGGACAGAGTGTGGGGCCAGCAAACTTTTGTCTGTTCCTCCTTGGCATCAATTGGTTTCACCATTGATAGTGTCATTTGTAGCAGTAAAAAAAAGCAAGAGTCTAGTAGCACCTTAAAGACTAACAAAATTTGTGGCAGGGTATGAGCTTTCCTGAGTCACTGTTCACTACTTCAGTGACTCATGAAAGATCATGTTGTTGTTCAGTCGCACAGTCGAGTCCGACTCTTTGCGACCCCATGGACCAGATCGCGCCAGGCCTTCCTGTCTTCCGCCGTCCTCTGAAGTTTGCTCAATTTCATGTTCGTTGCATCTATGACACTGTCTAACCATCCCATCCTTTGCCGTCCCCGTCTTCTTTGACCTTCAATCTTTCCCAGCATCAGGGTCTTCTCCAGTGAGTGCTCCCTTCTCATTTGGTGGCCAAAGTATTTGAGCTTCAGTTTCAGTATCTGGCCTTCCTGGGAACAGTCAGGGTTGATTTCTTTTAGGATTGACTGATTTGATCTTCTTGCAGTCCAAGGGACTCTCGAGTCTTCTCCAGCACCATAATTCAAAAGAATCTATTTTTCGGCACTCGGCCTTCCTTATAGTCCAATTCTCGCAGCCATACATGACTACTGGGAATACCATTGCTTTGGCCATGCAGACTTTTGTTGGCAGGGTGATGTCTCTACTTTTTATCATGCTGTTTAGGTTCACCATCGCTTTCCTCCCAAGGAGCAGGCGTCTTTTAATTTCATGGTTGCTGTCACAGTCTGCGGTGATCTGGGATCCCAGGAACGTGAAGTCTGTCACTACTTCCACGACTTTCCCTTCTATTTTCCCAGGAGTGATGGGGCCGGATGCCATGATCTTAGTTTTTTTGATGTTGAGCTTCAAGCCCAGTTTTGCGCTCTCCTCTTTTACTCTGAGCAAGAGGCTCTTAAGGTCCTCTTCACTTTCTGCTGTTAGAGTGGTATCGTCTGCATATCTGAGGTTGTTGATCTTTTCCCCAGCAATCTTAATTCCCGCTTGTTTTCAAGAGACATTTGAGGTGGTCTGGTACTCCCATCTCTTTAAGGACCTGCCATAGTTTGTTGTGATCCACACAGTCAAAGGCTTTAGCATAGTCAATGAAGCAGAAGTAGATGTTTTTCTGGTGCTTTCTCCATAATCCAGCGAATGTTGGCAATTTGATCTCTAGTTCCTCTACCTCTTCGAAACCCAGCTTGTACATCTGGCAGTTCTCTATCCATGTACTGTTGAAGCCTAGCTTGTAGGATCTTGAGCATGACCTTGCTAGTGTGTGATATGAGTGCAATTGTGCGATAGTTTGAACATTCCTTGGCATTACCCTTCTTTGGGATTGGAATGTATACTGACCTTTTCCAATCCTGTGACCACTTTTGCGTTTTCCAAATTTGCTGGCAAATTGAGTGCAGCACTTTGACAGCATCATCTTTTAAGACTTTGAATTGCTCAGCTGGAATACCATCACCTCCACTAGCTTTGTTGTTTAGTAATGCTTTCTAAGGCCCATTTAACTTCACATTCCAGGATGTCTGGCTCGAGGTCAGTGGTTATACCATCATGGTTGTCAAGGACATCGAGGTCTTTCTTGTATAGTTCTTCTATGAAAGATCATACCCTGACACAAATTTTGTTAGTCTTTAAGGTGCTACTAGACTCTTGCTCTTTTCTACTGCTACAGACAGACTAACAGGGTTACCCATATTGATCTACTGTCATTTGTAGAAGCTCACAGATAGGTCGGTCACTGGGAGATTGCAGGCTGATTTATGGCCTGATTGTTGATGGGATTTTTTGCAGAGAATGCTACTGTCCATAATGGACCAATACTCTTAAGCAAGAATCCA